TATGAATTTAATAATTGTAATTATTATTAATTATTATTATAATATAAATTAATATTATTATAAAAATATATTTTTTAATATAATTTTTAATAATTGGAAAATTATTAGTTTTATCATATAAGCTTATATTGAAATATTTAAAAAATATTTATAAAAATGCAATGTAATTATATTAGAAGTATATAAAACTTTCAATAACTTATTTTATAATATAGATATATTTATTTAAATTTAATTTTGATATATTTCAAATTTAAACAATTATTCAATTATAATTTATTATTAATATGTTAAATTGTGATTATTATTGTAATTAAATAAATAATTTATTATTATTATTTAATTCACTAATTAAAAATATTTTTCAATATTCTAGAATATAATAAAAATTTTTTCTTATATTTAAACAATTATTAATTATTTAAATTTTTTATTAATGATTGTCATAAATTATATAAAAATTATTTTATGTACATATAGTTTTGATATGTGTGAAGTTAGTTACTTAAATTACAATTGTGGAGTCAAATAAGTGTAGATATAAATAATATTTTCATTTGATAACAAAAAGAATATTTTTTTCTCTGAATTATAATATTGATATAAAAATTTAATAGCTACTACATTCATTTTACGAAGTAACAAACGGATGTTTGATTCATAAGAATGTTGAACAAGATATTATTGCATGGTGAATATTTACGAAATATATGAAATGTCCGTGAAAAATTTGAAATAATTCTATAAAATTTTTACAGACTATTGAATATGACAACGATAAATCAAATTGATACATCTTTACCATTCACGTTGAAACAAGGACAAGAAAAATTTGATATAGAAGATACTGATGATGACAATACAAGTCTCGAGGATATTAACGATCTTCTATCAATATCAATACCTTCACTTTCGGCGAATAAATTTCACATTCCTACTGATCTAAATGATGAATTTCTTCGATTAACTACTACGGCATGTTTCTTGTATAAAATACAATAAATATTTCAAAATATTAAAATCTAAATATTTAGTTATTTTTAAATTTTATTTAATTTATTTAATTTTAGTGGTTTTTATAATTTATAATTAATTAAATATCGATATATTTATAAAATGTTAAAATATTTAATATTTTAATTTTTATTACAGGTTCGTGCTGTATATTTTTCATATCTTCATAAATGTTTACTCACTAATTATATTCTTTGCTATAAAGAGAAAAATGAAGATATTCCAAGTAGTCAATTAAAAAAATGTGCAAATGAAATGGAATTGCTTGCAGTGCGATCATCTTTAGAAGCTACTTTATATAGACAAAATATGTTAAAATTAGTAAGTCTATTTATTAATGTATTTTAATATAATAAATTGATTAATAGTTGAAATTAAGATTTATAGATTTCAGATGTAAAATCACATACATCAGAAAAGAAAGCTTATAAAAAATTAATAATATTTTTAGAAACCCCATCAACTAAAGTAGACATTGGGGTTCAAACAATTAATACATGGGCAGAATTAGAAAGGGCAGATAATATACAAAGTATATGTATCACATCTAATTGTGAAGAATTATCCTTACATAAAGAAACACCAAAGTATAAAGAAGAAGATGATATAAATAATGAAAGTGAAGATTATGATATATCTTCTCAATTAACTATTTGCAATAATATAACTTCACCTACTGTAAATTCTACTCATTTCCATGATAAAATACAAAATAAATTTGATATCAAATCAGATGAAGAAGTAAATAAAAAAATGATAGTAGATGAAGAGACAATGAAAGAAGATAGCAATATTTTTAATTACATAAAAGATAATTCTAATTCTCAAATTCCAAATCAATCTAATATTCAAAATGATGATGAAAATTCACAGGATTCGCTTTTACAACACATGGAAGACATGTTTTGTGATAGTGACGATAGTAGCGATCTTATGACATTAATTGAAAAACATTCAGGTGTTACTAAAGCTAATATGGATAAGGAAATTAATGCTCTTCTTCCACATAATTCGAATGGTTCTATTAATATGCCTGAAAATAATATAAAAATTAATTCTGTTAAGAATACTAATATAAAGACATTAAATACAAATACAGAAAAGTACAGTTTTAGTTATTATAAAGAAATGAAAACCAGAC